AAAGGTTATTTTATAAAACATACAAAAAGTAAGCTATTTCAATAATAAATATCCCATACCTCTGCATCATCCTTGAGGATCCATTGTGGCAGCTCTTCCGCTGCAATCAACCTTGTCCTGTTGCCTTCCTGGAATGGAAACCGATGGTAAATATAATGTGATTTCTTGCACTAAAGTGAAACCTCTACACCTGACCAAAAAAAATCTACAACTTTTAATATATTATGTCTTTTGTTCTTGAGAGATTAAACAATAAGGAAAAATAGACATATATATTGAAAGTTGCAGAATTTTTTTCATTAGGTGTACATGATAAAATCTTATTATACAACAACAAAATTAAGATAATGCCATGTCAAAACATACCCTCATATTCTGCCGTCTTCTTTCTTTGTCCATTCTCTGAATAGAAAAATAAACAAGAATGTAAAGTATCCTGGAAGTATATTTGAGACAGACAAACAAAGAGAGAAATAATCACAAATAAACAATATAGAAATTCAAAACAGTTTTCCATTCATACAATGGTGTTGCTATGGTGTTGCTATGGTGTTGCTAGGGTGTTGCTAGGGTGTTGCTATGGTGTTGCTAGGGTGTTGCTATGGTGTTGCTAGGGTGTTGCTAGGGTGTTGCTATGGTGTTGCTATAGTGTACCTGATATAATTCAAACTCTTCTTCGTTTCTTGCAATCATCTGGTTCACAGTTTCATCATCAGGAACTTCACTTTCCTATAAAACCATAAAAACAAACAAATAACTACTCAGATATAAAATGAAATTACAAAATGTCAGATAAAAAATGAAATAACAAGCTTTTTATCTAGAATGAACAGCATTATTTTCTACTGAAATGGATAAAAGGTAAAACTAGTTGCGGTGTCAATTTGGATTTTTGGACTCACAATTCTTATGCAAAATTTTACTAAAATTTTAAAAAAGCTTAACAAAATCATACACTGTGTAAAAAGATTAAAAACTTGCAAGGTCATTGAGAAGAATCTAACCACCTTTACAACGTACATTTATACCTACATCTTCATCTGAGTTCTCCTCGTCAGTGTTTAGTAATGCCATAAGGAAGGCCTTTCTTTCACTGGACGTTGAGTTCTGGTTGAACATACCAGCCTGAATGACCTGGAATACCATACCATGTGATGAAGTCAAATTCAATTAAACTTGACATGGCTTGRCGGTATTAGTCATCAATACAATAATATAAAATACTAAACTAGTACCAAAAATCAAGACCTTCTTTTACCTTTTCATCTACATTCAGCTTGTATCTTGCTGCAGCGAGGATTCTCTCCTCGATGCTGTTAACAGTCATCAATCTCAAAACCCTGACTTCTTTCTCTTGGCCAATACGATGRGCTCTGTCTTGAGCTTGTAAATCCTTTCATGCAATTTCATAAAATTGTGCTTTATAAAAATGTGGATCTAGGTATTAGGGTGGATATCCAACCTCTTCTTTGTGG